TGCATGTGCGGCCTATACAACGATTTACCGATGTTTCGTGTGAGTGTGTTATCCTCCTGCACTAATTTTAAAGAATGGAGTGTTTGATTAGCCTGGAGTATGAAATTCCTTAATACAAAAGGCCATAATATATTTGCAAGGCCTCTCTAACCCCTGCGCTACATGGGCCCATGATTTTTGCTTGTATTGTTTTGCCTTACATGGCCAAAATTAATTTTCTGGGTTATTTGCTCACTTTTCTTCCACTTCCATCTGTCATAACATTATAATCCACCATTTTTTCAAGTGCATGGAAAGCTGGGCTAATTATTTGTAAAGAAAGAAAGGTTCATGAAAAACATCGTTTGAATGTCTAATGAGAACTATAGAAAAATCGGTTTAACGTTTGAAAGAAAATACTGAGGGCTTCGTTTTCCTTTTCCTAAGTAGTTCTAAAATGAATATTGATAAATTAGCACAAAATTTAGATATTAGAGGCTAAAGGAAAGTCATACAGAAAGTGAGCGAAGTCACTACCAGAAGAAGTAGAGTAATTGCATTGTTTATTCAAGAGAACACGGTTGAGGAGGTTGCAGATTAGAGAAGGTCTTAAGGTGAATTGTTCATTTATAGGAAAAAGCAGATCTCTGGTATCAGCCAGCATAATAGTGGCAGATACGGTTTTGCTTTGACATGCTGTCATCTCTTAAAGAAGCAAAATAACCTGATGAATCAACGAAAACTCACACATTACAAAAATAACTTCGATGCACATCCAATATTAACCGTTGCGATTATGAAGAATGCTAAGATGCCGAGATATTGGGCACAGCAGGTGATTTTTATGAAACCTCGTGTAAGCTTATCAATGCAAAAAGTTTGTTCACGTCAACGTTAAGGAAACGTTTGTTTTCAACAAATCAACTGATGTGCTCAATTTTTATTTACTGCTTACAATTTCTTCACTGCAGGGTATTACGTGAAATGCAACCATAATGGTACTGAGACATTTGCAAAGCCTATACCCTAGGCCAGATTCGCACCTGCGATCACCTTTTGCGGGGTTCACGTGTTCCCCATTGAACCACTGAGGCCCTTGATTTGCACTCCACTCAAATCACTCGATAGTTCAACGACGAAAAGCTATGCCATCAAGTCCAAAGAAGAAGATGAGTACGGCGTGGTCGACGTTGGTGGCATCCTCGATGAAGCATTCTGAATAATTCACTAAAGGAAGGTTTCGTTCGTCTCTCGTATTCCAACGACCACCACTTAATAGCTGGCGTTTCCGTCGACGAATCCGCAATCATCAACTGCAGCAGCCTGTGGAATTCATACTATGTACTTCGCACTTATGCATTGACATCCGTTCACTTGGGCATTTTCAATATCGCATACTAAAACTGATCCTTTCTCTTAAGTTCTATTCCTACAACTTTCTACATTTTATGAACAAAACCTAAGCGTGTTTTCATATGTTAACCACTAAATTGGTTTAAAGAGAACGATAACTACACGTCTTAGCAAATTTACGGTTTTTTGGGATAATTTTTTTATTAACTAAAAATATACCTCATATTTTTAACCCAGTTCTCTTTGTTTTCTGAAAAGGTAAAATATAAATATTTAATCAAAATAATTAAGTTTAAGAAAAGGTTGAAAATTTGCCTTTTTCTCCGTATAAATTATAAATTTCATGGAGAGTTTCATAGAGTTTGTCAGATGACCTGAAAGCATGAAAGTCGAGAAATTTAACGCAATTTCGAGTTTTTTTTTTCTGTCGAAGAAAAACGTGCATCTCTATTAACGGCGATATGTTGACAATTTGTCATTAGTTTCACAGCCGGCACTCTCCAGTTAACTAATACTCATGGAAAAAAAATGACACCTTAACTTGTTCAGCTATTTGTGCGTACTTTTTCGTGCTAAATCAGATATCATAAATATTTGTTTGATTGGATACTGTATCATATTCGTTGACGTCTTCAGACGGATACGGTAACAATTTCAACAGATGGCAATCTTTGGAAAAAAAATCGATCACGAGACGTTTGCGAAATTTTAAAGATGACCGAACAAAATTGGCGTCCCTCGTTAATTACTGCGATTTAATGTTTCTTTTTTCTGAAGTGTCGAAATGTTGCACAGAATAATGAAAACGGTGAAATGCACGGTGTTTTGCGAGAACATGATGGAAAGGTGATATTCCTGGCTTTATTTGTAGTGCAAAATTTATTCATAAGTGTTTTAAAGCAGAATATTTTCGTCATTCCGTTTGTTTTCTCGACGATTCAATTTCCAGCTTCTGCATCGTTCTGACTTCAGACACAACTTCCCTTGTGTCTTAACGAAGTGCTTTCCTTCTCCCATAAAACCTATCTTTTTTGACAAATAGGTAGTTTATTATTTTCTACTATTTTCACCTTATTATCACTCTTTTTGATGGCAGGGTATGTTGCGAAACACAGCCGCAATGGTGCTGAGATATTCGCAAAAATCCGGACCGCAGGTGTCCACGGTGAGGAACGAACGCGCTATTACCCTTTAAGTAGTTTATCATATTTTTCTTTCGTTACGTTATTTGGTTGAACAATGTGTCGTTTTTCTTGGCATTGGAAGCAATCTGACTTGCTTAGAATGATGTTGGAAGGAAAAAAGAAAGGAAAAGGCGAAAAACTTCGACTCTTGCATTAAACAAATTAGTCCGGTGCCTAGGAAGCTACGCCAATTCCTCAGAATTGAAAAGATTGACTTTTCGAAAATTAGCTTCATTACTGATACCTTCGGAGTTTTAATTCTTTGAAGCCTCCTTACCTCGTCACTAATCAACTTTTCTTATTTTTTTCTCCGCGAATGTCTATTCCTACACATTCAGCGTGATTGTATCCCTGTAATCGTGGCTATCTTTAGCTTTTCGTTTAAATTTTTCTGAGAAAAAATGACCACCGAAAGAACTCTGGAGATGCTGTATAGAATCTGTTTCTTTATAATCAATAAGCAATCAATTTTCTGATAAAACTGTTTATCGTTTTGACTTGTCGATTTGTCGCCAGGGTTACGATGATTGAATGGTACTGTAACCAGACGCCTTGAGTATCATTGTCCTGTTTAGCATACTAAGACTCAGTAGCTTAGTCCACAACCGTTAGTACGACGCCTCACACTAAGCCACAAGGTTCCAACCACTAAAGAAGATGGAATATTTCCCCCTTTGTTTCTACGTTTTTTACTCTTATTTCGATGTTTCGTTTTCGCTTATGGTATAAACCAAATCTTCTCTACTTATGTGGTCGGGAAATTGGTAGTGTACGTGTCTGCAACAAGCTCTGCCCGATCCGCAAAATGCGGCGGTTCCATGTGGTTAGGAACCATGAACTCCATTACCCTAGGATTCCAAGGAAAATCATGGAAATTCGAAGACATTCATTAGGAACGCAATAGATCTCAATTGAGGAGAAAATGAATCGAATAGTGAAGTACTGGGTCCGCTTAAAATGTGGCCATTTTGAAAGAAACAGAATAAATTGACCATACTTTTTATGTGGACATTATTGAGGTCATCCGAATTATTACTAGGGAAAATTCCAAAATTCGGCTTCAACGTCATCATCCAATGCAAGCAGTCAATTTCGGACAACGCATCGTCGAATAGGAAACCATTCGCTTTCTCTTCAGTAGTTAATGAGTTGCTATGGGCTAAACATCAGATCGGCTAATTGGCGATGAAAGTTTTTCTAGCGATAATGATTTCTTGAGCTGATGATTTTTGCCACGATTGTGGCCGATCCAATTTATGATACCTTCGTTGTTGCATATGTTAGCAGTACTACTTGGTTCGTAACATATTTACAATAAGGTGAGTGATATATTATTGCTCACTCGAGTTGTAGCATTGCGACACTATATGTTTAAATTTAGGACTTTTCATCACTAGCGTTTTTGTCCGCTATTTATTGAATTTTACAACTAAAGTTTGAAAATTTCAGATATCGGTGTTTTATGACGTTAGGACGATGATATGTTTAAGAGTCTGTCAATTTTCTTCAACTTCAGAATAGACCATGAGGCGCGTGTGGCACAGTGGTCAGAGGCGTCCTGCAACATATACGCGGAATCGATTTCCGCCTACATGCCCCACCAAACTTTCCACCCTCGCGGGTCGGCAAACTGGTACCAGACTTGTCTAGGAGGATAGTAGAATTGGCTCGATACATCATCGGTAGGCCACCGAGAGTCATTGTAAAGGCCGGGTTTGCATTCAATCACCTCCAAATGATGCTTAATGAAATAGAATGCATGGTGCACACCTCAGGGATTGATACACGTGGAGGAGTTTAACTTTTACTCTTTTCTTTCAGAATAGATCTTATTGTTTCGCTTTTGAATGAAAATGCTTAGATCTCTGTTAGTACACTACAGCAATCGATAGAAGCCAATCTATAGGCCTGTTAATTATTTTTTTCTCATTGCTTATTTAACTTTATCTGCATTAATTGAGAAATCTAATTGTTTAACCTCAATGGATGGTAGTAACCTAGTAAATAGAACAAGTGACGATAGCCACAATTTCTTTATGAGTGTGCGAAAATTCGCAAAGATTTTTCATTCATGAAAGGGAAAGGCGTCTTTCTAAGTTTGGGGAAATATCTAACTGGTTGCTTTCGTTGAGAAGTCGTTAGCTCTGTTTGTGATAGCTCGTAAGGAAAGCTGTTCTAAGAGAGCCACTGAAAACATCAGCGTAGATGGAGAATTTGGATAAAGTTACTTTTATGACATTCTCTCCTTTTTAGTCTAAGTACGTAAATAGGTTTTTTTGGTGGAGTATGGATTATGTTTTAGGGCCGAAGTTTTGAAATTTTCTGAAAAAATCCCAAACCATTTCAATGTAGAAGAATTGCAGAATGATGAGATGATTTTGAGGAACTGTACTATGTTATAGCTATTCTGAGACATAACCGAATGACACGATTTTCGATAGAAAGGAAGAAAATGAACAAAACTGCTATTGTTGCCATCTTCAGATGTTGCCGTGGCTGATGACAGCGTGTATCTACCCGTGTGTTGTAGGACCGGATTTCTGGGGTTTGGTGAACCGCGACTGGCGAATGTGTACTGCCGGTCAGATGCAGAGCCCTGTGAACATCGATCCAGCTCAACTACTCTTCGACCCGCATCTTGGACGAATATCGATTGACGACGTACACGTAAGTGATAGCAATTGCCATTGTTTTCGTTATTTTTTGTTATGTTCCTTATTATGAAGAACACGGCAGTTAAAGGACCTAGCGCCTTGGAATACACGTGCTGTTCATAGTTCAGTGTCGCCCAAGACCAGCAAGGCTTTCCAGTTCTTTGAAGTCGGTAAGCTGGTGCCAAAGGAGGTTAGACCTTTGTTGAAAAATCTACCTGTGACCAACAAAGACCAGCGATTGTTTGTGATGAAGACCTGGGACGCTCTATTGGAGCTTTCCTAGTGCTTCAAGGAGAATCAACTGGTTCAATATACAACGGCATTATTAAAGAAGTGGAAGTCCTCATCTGGCGGCTAAAACCACGCGCAAGTCTGAAAACACTAAAAACATTCGTGGACGATGGATATGACGAAAGGAACCCCGTATGAAGTACGAGCGCGATCCTCACATTATGTAATGTTGAGTCATGTAGATAAAACAGTATATCTTATTTGCTCTAGTCTTCTATTATTCGGTAATCTCAACGTTACGTTTGGTTCGAATATTGCATTTTCTGTTGTCATTTGTTGTGATATGGCTGTATTCCATTTTCCAATGGACGAATATCGTTGGTTGTCCTGCGTAGATGAAATCACGGCGGCACCATGTTCGAGCCATGTAGGTCGTGACCCTTCCGGTCGAGCTAGGAGTGCTGATTGTAGCAAGTGGCAACCATTACCGCTCGTTTTCGTACGCCTGCATCTACTTACAGAGCTGCGCTAGAACGCAATGCTGTGGACCGCGTAGGTTGTACGCTCTACGTGATGCAACGAAAATCGGACTTGCAAACAGTCAGCGCACCGCCGAAGGAGCACGATGCTTCGAAAAATGTCCGCCGTTTGGACGCTCCCCTGAATACCTGATTGTTAGTGTCAACGCCATATGCTCAGTGAAAACATTAAGCAATATATCTTATTGCTTGATAAACCAGCATTGATTGTATGTTAGATAAGTTATCTGAAGGTATATTTATTTATGTGATCTTATAAACTGATCTTCTTAAGCTGACGCAAGGTTGGTACAGATCTTCGTTGTCGTTGTCGTTGTTTTTGATGTTATTGATCGATGGCTGACGTTTCGGCGACTTCGCCTTCCTCAGAGCCTGGACGTATTTTATCTTAGAATACTTTTTATTATTCGGTGGAAAAGAAGGTTAAAGTATTAATGTAGATCAAACCTTCAAATAGACGCCATATTGAACAGAAAGGCCACTCACCGTGATGTTACGTGCGGGACTGGCCGACACGTAGTTCACGCGAGCAAGACACGCCCCGGGGTCAAAATATCATTTTGAAATAGGGCGCCAGGTCACGCGTGATAGTGAGGCATTCGTCCTTCCGGTTCATCTTTGGATTTTTGAAATTTATCCAAAACGCCTCAAGAGCTTTGCGCGTTGATGTTTTTGATTCCTGCGCTAGGATCCGCACATTCACTTCAAAATCATCGCCGTTGTGCTTTTGTGCCCTATGCGTACCTAGAGGGGTGTTTAAAGGGATTTTAGCTTTTCCATCTAGATGTTCTTTTAAGCGGACACAAAGTGGTCTACCCGTTTCCCCGATATATTCTTCGCCGCATGCATTACATGAGATCAAGTATATTATACCTAAACTCTGAAGGTAATTTAGGTGGAAGCAACATTCGAAAATATTGGTCAATTGCCAATAATCACTATTGACGATGCACTGTCTAGAACATCGGTGAACATCACTGGTGGACCAGCGCTGCCGTACAGATATCGACTTCATCAGGTAAAATTGGCGATTACATGTATTCTTTTATAGATAAGCTTACACGAGGTTGATAAGTAACTTTATTCGGCTAACGTTTCGACGTCTTCGTCTTGATTAGATTCAATGATCGGAGGCAGTAGTCCACTGTTGTTCTTCCTCCAACCATTATCAGTAAAAGAATACATGTTGATTAATGATACCAAGGCTAAAAAAATTCCGTGTTGAAATATTACTTACCTGATACGTGAATGATCCGTCCTCACTGGTTGTGCGGGCTCCACCATAATCTCCATTTTTCGGAGATTTGTTGTTTAAGCCATTGTGGTTCCCTGGAATCCCGAGGTCAGTCTGGCCAAAGTCTGCTCCAGGTCTTCACCACCACGGGCAACCGCAGTCCTCGTGGATCAGAGGGAGATTTGCCACCATGCCACTTGGTACCACCAAGACGGTGGTTGATCCTGGTATTGGTTTACTCTTAGCTAGGTATCCCTATGGAAACGCCAGACTGCCCCTGCTTGGGAGACCCTGCCGAGGAGATGAATTCCATCCCTAATGATCGCAGCCCGTCACTCAGGAACACCTCCCAGCCACGATGAGGCGGTAAACCGCTGAAATATTAACGATTACAATTATTCCTTGCTGCTATAATACTACGGCATTTTTGTAAATTTGTGAAAAGTTCCAGATTTCCATTCACTTTGGCCAACCCGACGGTGAGAGGGGTTCTGAACATACGGTTGATCGTGTTCGATTTCCAGCTGAGGTAATGTATATTGGGACGAGTTCACTTGCACTCCTCGTAGTCCATTTATCGATTTTCATAGGTCCAATTGTTAGCTTACAATATCGATTTGTACGCAAACTATAGCCAAGCAGTTACACAACCACGAGGATTGTTGGCAATTTCCGTTATTGTTGACGTGAGTTCGTTTTTCATCTTTATCACTTCGCAATTGGAATCCATTGGCTTGGGAAAAGAAGGAGGATGTACTTTTTTATTGCTTTTAGATTGGTAGCACTACAGAAGTGGCCTTACGACGATTAACTGTTGCATCACAAAGTATCACGTATAAAGGTTTCTTTTTCATTTATCTTTTCTGTTCCTTTTATATTGTCATATCGCGATGCCTAAAGTACACCTTTAAAGGTGTAGCAGCGCAGTGGTTAAAGATGTATCACGTTAATCACATTGTACACACTGGTTCGACTTCGTCCGGGCCAGCGAGGCTCATAGCGTCTTCGTAGTGGGTGAATCGGCGTAAAACTTACATGCGAAAACTTTCCTTTGATCCATAAGAAGCTGACAACTACCTCTGGTGGGAAGACCGGGGAATGCTATAGCAGAACTATCCTAGAATAAAAACGTTCATGAAGAACACAAAGGCCTTAAACAGCAGCCAAACCCACATGCAAACCCTAACACTTTTGTAGATGACCCGAGCAGGAGAACGGATTGAATGAAAGAAGTGTGGGGATACACAGAATATGTTGTCTCGAGCCACAAAAATAAACGAATATTATTTAGAGCTTTTACTGCTTTTAAGATTGTTGGAGAGCATGTAACGCAACGTTTAGAGGTACCTGAAGTGGCAGTGTAGTGAAGTGGTCTTGTGGTCGATACAACGCCCCGAGCTCATCAAGCTATCCATTCCTCTTTAGTCCACAAATTGGTACCAAACTTTTCTGGGAGGGTTGCAGCACTGACTTGATAGAGCACTAGGCTGGGCCACAGCAAGTCATTGGAACAGGCCGGATATGCATTCATCATCCCTGACGATGTTTGATGAAGTCGAATGCATGATGCATCCTTGAGGGAATGTTCAACACGAAGAGCTTCACCCGTTTAATGATTGGTTCCAGGCATGCGAACGGCTCTTCGACAACTACATCCAGCCGGTTTGCTACCGCGTACCGCTCATTATGTCACATACGAAGGTTCTTTGACAATTCCTGGTTGTCATGAGACAGTGACGTGGATAATAATGAACAATCCTATTTATATCACAAGAGATGATGTAAGTGTCTTTTCTTTTCTCAGCAAGTTCGGCTTCTTTTTATGATTTCTCCGTGCACCGTGGTGATTTTGATAACCAGGCAACTGAACACACCTTTCCGGCAAACTGAGAATTTTCCCATTTCTTTTGCGGCCCTTTTCCGTTTGTTAATTTACATTTTAGTTACAAATATGGAATGAACTACAAAAAACCGAAAGTAAACAACCTGATCCAGCTTATATGATGCCTGTGTATCGACCGCTGAAAGCTCTGAATGGTCGACTGCTAAGAACAAACATAAATCTTAGCTACAAGGTAGGCCTGGCTCTGCAAATTGTCCTTTTTTTTTATCTCCAATGGCAAATTTTGCATAATGCTACCCTTCTTACCTGAGTCGCACCTCTTAAGGAAACATTTGGACCTCAACTTATTCTCAACTTAACTCCTATAAAATCTTTTCCTGGAGTACCAGGATACTCAGGTCAGGGTTTCTTCGATCTCGAAGAAGTGGATGAACTTTCCTATTCCAAGTTTCTATGAGGATGGTGGCGATTTCAGAATAGCTAAATGAAAGTGTGCTTCTATTTTCGACTGAATTACTGTAGAAGGATCGGTTCCTAGTGCACATCGCTGTCCAAGAAATCATCTAGTTTTTAAGAAAAAATTGAAAAACGCAATTATCCATGAAAACCACAAAATTTTTGTATATTAATCGAGACTTAAACACTTCCGCCTCAGATTATTTCAAATTTAGCAAATATCATCACCATCGTGTTCATCGAACATCTACACGGAAATGGGCTATCGATCGAATCCAGCAAGATCGCTTTACAATCAATCAATAACAAGACGAAGTGCACCTATTCATCAATTTCATAAGGATGACGTTTTCGAATTGGAAAACAGAGAGCCGACTGAGAATTTTGAGAGCGTAGAATCCGTATAATCGACTACTGATCGCCGTTCGATCGATTCCGTATTACCCTACTTGATGTGTGATATGGTATTGCTAGCATTTATCTGTAGAGATATATGACCTTACTTTGTAAATATATGACATAGTAAGTACACCATTACTGCTTTTTTACTTAACACTTCTAGTAATACGGGTTCTAACTGTATTTATATTTGTCTGTCGTATTTTACTTAGAGGAGTTTTTATTTCCAAAACTTATAGAGATGTAGGCTAATGAAGTTGTTTTTGAAATGTTCACCACAAGTTTAAAAAGTCATCACAATAAGAATAAACGGCTCCAAAAAGTTCGACAAACATACGACGCATCTTCACCGTCATACTGTGGATCAAGTGCATATTGATTGGCTTGCGACTGACAAGGGCACTTCATCGGTTGTGGCTATCATAACATTTATATAGTCATTTTTCGCTTTTTAAAATCAGGTGACTGCTCTGTTGTAGTAAAGTTACACAGAAAAAAAAGAAGAATAAACGCTGTCGTCAGTTTTTATTTACTGCCTACTCTTTTCAATGACAAGGTATTATATGAAATATGACCATAATGATGCTGAGATATTTGCAAAACTCAAGACCGCAAGTGTCCTCGATGGAGAACAAACGCGCTATTATCCTTTCCGGGGACTAACGCTGCGTTCACCACCACACCATATGGGTCCATCGTTTCGCCTGTCTCTCAGATAGTTCTATCGATCTTTTTGACATCAGCAATCACCCGTTAACGGGGTTGATCTGGTGAGTCCAAATCGGCATTGAACCCAGTTAAGCTGAGGCTTAGTTATAATCACAATCTTAACCTTTTTATTTACTGCCTTTTTTCTTTTTAATGCCAGGGTATGTTGCGAAATATAACTCGTATGTAATGATACTTACTTGATACTTGAATGGCCCGTCCTCACTGGTTGTGCGGACCGCAGCACAGTCTCCGTTTTTCGAGATTTGTGGTTAAGCCATTGTGGTACCCTGGAATCCCGAGGTTAGCCTGGCCAAAGTCTGCCCCAGGTCATCACCACCACAGGCAATCGCAGCCCTTGTGGATCAGAGTAGTAGTAATAGTAATAGTAATAGTAATAGCAATAATAGTAATGGCAATAGTAATACAAGTAAGACAGAAAGAACGTTGACCGTAAATATGCCAAAAGCTCGAGTTACTCGACGATCAGTGGGACTATAGGTGATACAGGTGATGCCAAAAGGATTGCCTTGAACATCTCTACTACCAGGTCAGAAATCACTGACTGCCTTTCTATAGCACACCCTTTTCTTACGGAGTTCCTCGATGAGTTGACGCGATGCTTCGATGTCAGAAGTAAAAAAGAGAGCTCTCGACGTTGACCAATCCCTGAGGAAGGCATCATGCATTCGACTTCATTAAGCATCGTTTGGAGGTGACTGAATGCATATCTGGCCTTTACAATGACCCGCGGAGGGCTACCGATGTATCGAGCCAGTGCTGCTATCCTCCCAGATAAATCTGGTCCCAATTTTCTGACGCCGGTTGCATAGAACGCTTGGTGGGCCATGAGCGTCGGGATCGATTCCATGTGTATGTTGCAGGGCGTCCCCGACCACTGGGCCACACGCGCCCGTAGCCGCGAAGTTACCAACAGATATTTTGGCTTTTACTAGTTAGCTTCTCCGTTATCTCAACTGCTTCAGAGTACAGCCACATTTTGTACTAGTTCCCAGAATCGACTTTCTATTAACCTCGGCACTGGAATATGAATGCGTCGTTTTCTTGTTCAGCAATCGCAAGGTTGTTAAACAGCATACATTTACTTCCATAGAAAACCACAATACAATACAACGCTAGTTGACGTTTCGGCAGTATCGCCTTCTTTAGAGCCTGGAAGGGTATGCTGATATACAATCTACTAGGCCAAACGCTTCAATAACACTTACAAAAAGAAGAAAGACTCTTTGGTCATTACACGATCAACAACTTCTCGAAAAACCCACCGCTTTTTCGAGACTTCCAATGAGGAAGTTTAGAACAGCTGATTATAATCGCATATGGTTGACGACTGCACCATCCCACATCAAAACTCGATGCGAACGTACGGGATCAGGTCGCGTATGACCTCCGGGCATTCGTCCCTGCTATTCATTGTAGGGTTTTTGGCATTTATCCAAAAAGCCTCAAGAAGTTTTCGCGCTGGTGTTTTGGACCCCTGTGCAAAGATATTGACTTTTACTTCAAAATCGTTTCCGCTATGCTTTTGTATCCTATGCGTGCCTAGTGGGGTGCTTCGTCTTGGTTTTCGTTTGCCATCTAGGTGTTCTTTTATACGGATACGCAAAGGTCTGCCCGTTTCGCCAATATATTCATCTCCGCAATTATTACAAGAGATCAGGTATATCGTACCTGAACTCATCCAATCACCGTCCCTGCCGTAAGGACAAATTACGCAATTTGTTGTTTCACATGGATGGTCATACAGGCGGTTACGAACTAATTGACGACGTAGAGTGGCCGGTGGTGTTTCAACTATCGCTACCGATTCCTCTAGACCTGCCCTTCTTAAGCATCGTTTTATAGCTGCGCTTACTTCATCGCTTATAAAAGGCAACATAAACGGGATTTTCTTTCGGCCAAGTGTTTCGCGTGGGCGCGTCGTTCTCCTTCCAAACTTATCTCGTGGGGTTACTATTTCGTCGCCATTGGAGATGGCTATTTGCCGAACCAAGTCGCGCGATTCTTCCTTTAGTTCCCTGGTAGTGCACATAGAGGTGGCTGTTCGAAACATGTTTGTCACTATCGCTCTCTTTGTGTCTGAAGGGTGGGAAGAAAGGAAATGAACAAGAATGTTCTTGTTACTTGACTTTAGATACCACTTTGTCAGGTAACTGCTACTTGAGAGGTTTATTTGAACGTCCAAAAACGGAAGCCAGTTTTTTCTCGGTTTCTCCAGGGTGAACTTTATGTACTCGGACTGCTCGTTCAGTAATTCGAAGCATTTGTCCATCTCCTCCTGCGTAGAGAAGGCGACAAAGCAATCATCTACATATCTGCAGTAGAGTAGTGGCCGGAGATCGAGAACGGGGGCTTCTATCTTAGACATAAACACAATGGCAAGGCTTGGTGCCAATCGCTGCCCCATTGCCAACCCCCTACAGCCACATTGTTATAGACATTCTTCGGTGAATGTTCCACAATTGAATGAAAAATTCAGTATTGAAATTAAAATTTCGGTATGAATAAAAAAAATTCGGCCAAAATCAAACAAACAAAAATTTGTTTACATGACTCAGTTGTCGCCGAGTTGGTACAAATGGCAAATCAAAACCTTTATGCAATGTCTGCCAAATAAATTTATACAAATAATGCGAACATGGAAGTTAGACTAATAACTTCATGAATAACAAACTCATGTAAGCTTGGTCATTTCAAAACATGTTGACAAATCATTTTAAGGCTGAAGGAAAGCTGCAATTTCTAGGACCTACTTTCTTTTAACTTCGGCATTGATCAGTTTTCAAACCAACCGTCCTTATAACACAGCTTAGCGGAACGTATGCTTGCCGACTTTGATAAAGCCCGTGGAAAGATTGGTCTTCGACTAAATCTTAAAAAAAAGATGTTCGTGAGGAACGCATTGGTTTCATATGCCCAATTCACGCTCAGTGGAGCCAATATCTCTGAATACTCCTGTTATATCTGTCTAGGACCGGAAATCAACGTGATGAACGACTTAGCTCCAGAGTTGAGTAGGAGGAAGCGAGCTGATAGGGAAACTTGTAAGTGCATCGAGGGACCACTGAAGAGAGCCAGGAGCACCCCACTCGGTGCTCACCATTTCGACTCAACGCTACTTCTTGCCCTAACGTATGCGTCAGAAACCTGGCCGATGCACAGGTAGGATGAAAGATCACTCAGCGTTATTGAACGCGCAGTCGAAAGGACGATGCTAGGGGTGTCCCGTGTGACACAAGTAAGGGAAAGTATGCAAAGCTCCGATCTGCGTCAACGATCAAAAATCAAAGATGCCGGTCGGTACGTCAAACAGTCGAAGATAAGATGGGCAGGACACATAATGCGTATGAATGTCAACCGATGGACAAGAGCCATTAGTGACTATATTCCTCGGGGTGTCAAGCGTACTGCAGGAAGACCATCGACCCGACGCTCAGAGTTCTACACAAAGAGCCTTCAAGAAGGTTATGATGCTCGACGAGTCTCTAGAGCAAGCAAAACCCACTGCGATACTCTTGCACGTGACAGGGAAAAATGGACGATTTACTGGCGTCAGCTCAAGCCACTCGACGACCAATGGGACTACAGGTGAAACAGGTGATACAGTGAAATAATCAACATGTTAATAATTTGCTGAGCTTACACGAGGTTGGTAAATATGTTTATTTCGGCTAACGTTTCGATGTCTTAGTCTTCATCACAGCCAATGATCAGTGTCGGTGGTGCACAGTTGTTCGCTGTCTCGATGTAGCGTCTTCGTTGTCGTACAGAGACGGAGTCTTCTTCGGTGAACTCAAAATTGCTTTGCTATTCGCTTTGTGCTAGCTAGTATAATACCGACTGCCAAAGGGTGAATTATCCGTTGGAAAACTAATTATTGCCAACGGATAGTCTTACCAACAACAGCAGCCCTGTATAAAAGGACACTGCCTGGTGTGCATGCGATGTTCACTAAGAAGATCTCGTCTCAGTACGACAACGAAGATGCCATATCGACATAACGAACAACTGTGGATCAGCGACTCGGATCAACGCAGCTCTGATGAAGACGAAGAGGTCGAAACGTTAGCCGAAATAAACAGATTTATCAGCCTCGTGTAAGCTCAACGAATTATAAACACGTATTGATCGATAATTCAATATTTTCATTGATGAGCAAATATGAAGTAATTACAGCATTTATTAGTGCAAAATAGCTGACGTTTCTGCAATTTCCGTCTTCCTCACAGTCTAGGTTAAGTCGACTGCAATCTACTCGGCCAACACTCATAACATTAGC